GGAGGAGGAGGAGGAGGAGGAGGAGGAGGAGGAGGAGGAGGAGGATTAGGTCACCTCAATGACGAGTGGATCGGCAGCACTACGGCGCTAGGGGTGCCATACTGGTCGGAGATCTGCGAGAAAATCTTATCCCTCCACACCTCTGAGCATATTTGTAATGCATGCTGCACAACTCCCTCCGTCCCTCCCCTCCCCTCCCCCCCCTCCGTCCCTCCGTCCCTCCGTCCCTCCCTCCCGCACCCCCTACCTCCCCTGTCCTTCCTCCTTCAAACTTCCCGTTCGCTTCTTCTCCCCCTTCCTCCTTTCCCCTTGACTCCCTCTCCCCTCCCCTCCCCTCCCCCTTCACAAGCTCCCTCTCCTCCTCTCTCGCTCACCTTCTGACTGTGTCCTTCGCCGAACGGGAAGTGTCTCGTCCCGCACGAGCAGTCGAAGTAGGACATGTTCTCCACGAGCGCAACTGGGCAGGGAGGAAACAAAAACGTCAAACTCCCCAGCTGACACTGAGCAGGGTTCCTCCACCTATGGGGACGTTCAACGTGTCAAACATCTCGATGCCCCGGACAACGTCCACGAAGCTGAGCTGAAGCAGGAGGGGGATCAGGGCGGCAGGCGGCCAGGACAGCAGACGTCACCTTCTGCGGAGTCGTCACTATGACAGCCCCGTCGATGTTCACTTGCTGCCAGCACAGTCAAGGTCAGGGAGCCAAGTTGCCGCCATAGCGTCACTACTGTCAACCTGGCAGATGGTGAGTTGGATGTCTCCGGTTCCGGGAGGGAAGTCAAGGACGAGGTAGTCAAGTTCGCCCCTGCGACCGTCAGTCATTGACACAGCGAGCAACGTAATCGATAGTTGATATCCTCCTCCTCCTCCTCCTCCTCCTCCTCCTCCCTCCCTCCCTCCCTCCCTCCTTCTGCTCCTTCTTCGTCGCTCTCCTCCTTGCTCCTCCTCCCTGTTTTCCTTCGCTTCTCTCTCTACTGTTCCTTTCTCTCTTGCCTTTTGTTTTCTCCTTCCTTTCCCTCTCTCCTCCTTCCTCTCTCTCTCGCCTCTATTAGCTCCCTCTATCCTTCCGCTTCCTTCTCTCACACTCAATCCCTCACCGCCATCGCCCCCGATCTCACCAATCAGTGAACGCGAGCAGCTGGTGGACAGTAGACGCTACCATGGGCCCTCGCATGATCGATGCCTGTCCTCCTCGAGCCTTGGCCGTGAAGCCATAGGACATCAACTTCACGTCCTGGTAGTGCAGCGGAGCGATCCTCTCCTCGTTGGTCTGCGACCTGACTACCCGCGGGTTCTCAACGCCCACCATGGTAGGGAGGCTCGGGCCATAGATGTCTGCATCGAAGATCCCAACCTTCCCGCCCAGCTTGGCGATGCTGAAGGCAAGATTGACAGCTACCGTTGACTTCCCGACCCTCCCTTGGCGCTGGATACGGCAATGATCCTCTTCACGTCCTTCAAGCCGGTCTGGGAGTTCTCCACCTTCTGACCGCCTCCTGCAGGCCTGTGCTGAGAGCTCAGAGTGAGTTTCACGTCCTTCACCCATGGCAGCTGCTTAATGAGGTCCGTGCAGTCCTTCTTGAACTTGTCCTTCACAGGACAGGCAGGCGTCGTGAGGACGAGGTCGAACGAAACAACCCCTCCCTGATAGTGAGATTCTGCACGAACCCCAGAGAGACGATGTCCTGATGGAGGTCTGGGTCTATCACATTCTTCAGCTGCTCCAGAACCTGCTGCTCTTGCTCCCCTCCTGTGTGCAAACTCCTCGCGGGTTGGCACATGCCGCTCAAGGGAACTTGACGCCGGCCATGTTGAGCAGCAGGGTGCGACAGGTTGGTCGGCAGGCCCATGTTCATTCCGAATGCATAAGGACGGACAGACTTTCGTTGACATTTGAGGCGGGAGGAGGAGTCAGACCGTTTCAAAGCTGAGCCACCGGCATGACCAGACAAGGTAAAAGTAGACGGAGTGGTGGTGGAAGAAGACTGGAGCAAGGGTGAAGTGGAGTGATGAGTCGAAGCCTTACAGGAGGAGGAGGAGGAGGAGGAGGAGGAGGAGGAGGAGAGGCAGGCTGTGGAGGTCGCGCGCGATGCTAGGAAGCTTCGAAACCGCAGCATGGGGCGCATACTAGTGAAGGCTTGCAAGGGGGCGACAAGCGACATAGGGTAGGGGTAGTGTATCAACTCTATTGGTGGGGTACTTTATGGGGGTCTTTGTAGTAATTCTACGGGGTGTAATGGATTTCCTTTGATCCTAAGTGGTGGGTGGGGTGGTTTGGGAGACGGGTGGGGTCCTTCGAGAGGAAAGGTGATAGAAAGCACAAACTGTGAATGGTGGGGGTGGTACTAGGTGTACATGAGGGGTAGTTTATAGTGATAAAATGGGGGTGTGTGGTACCTGTCGCAGGGTAGGGGTCGTGAGAGTCTGCCTCGGTTTGGACAAGAAAATGACTTAAGCTATTGAAATTAAAATAAAATTACTTGAGCTATTTGTAATATTCTTAACTAAAATTCAAGAAAAAAAAGATAAATGACCCCACGTTCCACTACTGATAACCCTACCCCATAAACAGTCAAATTTTACCACCCTCACCTCAAATTAGGGTATCCATCTTTTTGGACCCCTTTCATGATATTTTCTTGCAGAATAAATGGGGGTACTTGATCCACTTCGTATTTCGTACCCCTATTTTTTTCAACCCTGCGGCAATTCACCCCTACATTTGGTACCCTACCCCCCATGATCCACCTCTCCTCGTTCCTCAAAACATCCTTTCCCGCCTTTTCCTGCGCCATGTCAGGCTCTGCCGCAGCTGCAGCTGCAGCTGCAGCTGCGGCTGAGCTTGCTCCTCCCCCCGTTCTCTGCCGTCTTTCCCATCGTCATCCCCCTTGTTCGTCTGCTCCACCTCCTGTTTCATCACGATCATCGTCAACAAGTTTTTGTCGCTCAACTATCATCCCCTCTCCGTCAGACCCTCAACAAATTCTGCTGGCATGCCTTGTGAGCTCCTATTTTTCATCATCCTTTAGCAGAGGAGCACAGGCATTAAGTTCCTCCTCATGACGACCCAACACGATCATGTTCACCATCGCCCCCTCCTCCTTCACTTCCCTTACTTGGTTCCTTCAACAACCAGCACTAGTTCCAGCCTGCCTTTCATATTATTTCGTCTCATCGGCTCGATTCTTGCATCACATGGATCCGTAGTGAACTTTTTGCCTCAATAGATGTCCAAGGGGGAGCAGTTCGACAATAAGTCCCAACAGGACGATGTTCGCAAGTCCAACATCATGTCCGCAAAAGGCAAGCATTAGTAAACCCAGAAATTTTGCCTGACTGTCTTGATAGCCATTGCGGATGCTGTCCGAACTAGTCTTGGTCCTCGTGGAATGGACAAGATGGTATCGTTCAACGTGTTAGCTGGCTCTCACTGACGTCTTGAGGGTTCACAGATCCAGACTGCTGATGGTGAGGTGATCATCACCAACGACGGTGCAACTATCCTCCGACAGATGTCGGTTTCCCACCCAACAGCTAAGATGGTGAGTTTATATGACCTCTTGATCGTCTCAACTATACAATCTTCTCTATTCAAATGCTGTCTCGTTTTTTTCTTTTGCTTGCAATTGAAAATGAGAACGCTGTGTGGAAAATGGCGATTGGCTGTGATTTGTTCCTGATGAATTTGTCTGCAGATGGTGGAGTTGTCAAAGTCTCAAGATATTGAGGCTGGTGATGGAACAACCAGCGTTGTGGTCATGGCTGGAGGACTCTTGAATGCCTGCAGCGGACTGCTGAACCGCGGGATTCATCCAAACCAGATATCGGACGCCTTTCAACTCGCGTGCAAGAAGTCAACAGAGATCCTGCAGGAAATGGGAACCCCTGTTGATTTCAACGACAGAGAATCTCTCATCAAGTGTACCAATACGTCTCTCTCCTCAAAGGTGGTGTCTCAAAACTCCTCCCTCCTCGCTCCTCTCGCCGTGGACGCGGTCATGAAGATAGCAGATCCGCTGGACAACAATGCAGATTTGAACATGATTAGGGTTGTGCGCAAACTAGGAGGAACTGTTGATGATACAGAGTTGGTTGATGGAATCGTTTTCACTCAGAAGGCAGCAAAGGGAGCAGGAGGGCCGACGAGGGTTCAGAACGCAAAGATCGCGGTTCTGCAGTTCCAGTTGTCCCCGCCCAAGACTGATATAGAGAACTCAGTGGTGATTTCAGATTATCAGCAGATGGATCGTATCTTGAAGGAAGAGCGCACATACATTGCCGACCTGTGCAAGAAGATCGCCAAGACCGGCTGCAACGTCGTCCTCCTCCAGAAGTCTATCCTTCGTGATGCTATCACCGACCTCGGCTTGCACTTCCTCGCCAAGCTGAAGATTATGCTTGTGCGGGATATCGAGAGGGACGAGATCGAATTCATTTGCAGGACTCTCCAGTGTGTTCCCATCGCAAGCGCCGACGCCCTTCGACCTGAGAAACTTGGAAAGGCCGACCTTGTCGAGGAGATCGGCACGAGCGACGGGAAGATCGTTAAGATCACTGGCGTTCCAAAGCCCTGCAAGACCGTCTCCATCCTCTGCCGCGGATCGAACAAGCTGGTGCTGGAGGAGAACGAGCGATCCATCCACGACGCGCTCTGTGTCGTGAGAAGCTTGTTGAAGAGGAAGTTCATGATCCCGGGAGGCAGCGCCCCGGAGATGGAGGTCTCACAGAGACTGATGGAGTACTCCAAGACCCTCGGGGGAGCAGAGAGCTACTGCGTGCGGGCTTATGCCGAGGCCCTCGAGATCATCCCCGCAACACTGGCGGAGAACGCTGGTCTGAACCCGATCAACATCGTCACGACCCTGCGGCTGATGCATGCGAACGGCGACAAGAACGCAGGGATCAACGTCAGGAAGGGAACCATCAGCAACATGATGGAGGAGAATGTCGTCCAGCCCCTCCTCGTCAGCTCCAGCGCGCTGGAACTTGCCACAGAAGCGGTGAGAATGATCCTCAAGATCGACGGGTTCGTACCAACATTGTAAGGGAGCTAGAAGAGCCAATCTCGAATGGGTTGTAGAATGAGACAGGGGGCATGAGTGAAACAGACAGGAAAGAAAGCCGATTATGGAGAGGTTCACTCCCACTAACACTCTTCCTTGTTTTCTCTCCTTTTGTACAAGCCGGCCGGCTCTAGTGCGGGTTCTCACCACCTCCCCCATCGCGAGAAATATCCGGAGTATCAGCTGGAATGTTTCTGCGATGAAAGGAGTCAGTCAAACGGAGGGAGGGGCAGAAAAGTCAATCAGGGGAGGGAGAGGCAGGGGAGAAAGTTAGGGGAGGGTGAGGGCCAGCCAATGGGAGGGGAGAGGGTCTCGAGTCTCGTCCTACCTGCTGCGCCAGCATGTCGTTCTTTCGCTTCAGTCGCTGCATGTCCTGCTGGAGGGAGTCCTGCCTTGAGGCATGAGAGAGTCACGCTGAGGGCAGCAGACTCACCTGCTGCTTCCTGAGCATCGCGGCGATCTTCTCGTCCTTGGCGATGGTCTGCTTGTTGGCGTACAGGGTCTTCGCCTGCCGGCCCGTCACATTCTCATCGCCCTCGCACCCTCCCGCACGACCAGAGTAGAGACGACAGTCCCCTCCGCTCCTCCTCTTCCTCTTCCCGCTGCCTCCGTCCCCTCCTCGCCCTTGTCTCTCTTCGCCGCTGCCTCCTCCGCTCGCTTGATCTTCTCCTTGAGCGCCTTCTCCTCCCGCAGATACGCCTGCAGCTTCTTCGCCCCACTCTCCCCTGTCGCTCCTCCCGCCTCCTTCGCCTTCACCACCTGGGGCCGATCAGCCCACTATCCCACCAGCAAGCGCCCTTACCTTGTGCTGAGTCTCAGCTGGAGACTTTGCCTGTGTCAAGATCAGAAGAAGCAGCTCGCTACTGCTCTGACCTGCTCGCGAGCAGTCGGACGACGAGCGAGAGCTGCGGCTTTCGCCTTGACCCGCTGAAGGGCAGCGTGTCTGTCCGAGTCAACCTGGAGGGAGCAGACGATGAGCGAGGAGGAGGAGGAGGAGGAGGAGGAGGAGAGTCGCACCATCGCGTCCAGTTCTTTCGCTCGCTGGTCCGCGACAGCCTGCGGGGTCGTCAGCTTCGGCACCTCCATCGCCTCCTCCTCTTGCCTCCGCATGGATCGCGTACTGCTTGGCTATCGTCGCCTCGCGCATCTCCTTGGCAGCAGCCCTGAGGCGGAGGAGATGAGGCGGGCGGGGGTTGGGGGGGGT